TGAGCCGAGTTTCCCATGTGGCTCCCAGCTGCGGAGATTTGTGGAAATGTGCGGAGTCACTCGCTGTGATCTGATCGTCCTGCAGTCACTGGAACCCGTATCATATCACCGGTCTGTTAACGACCCTGAAAAGGGGGCTGTATATTTATCATGGCACTCACGGGCCGGTGCCTAGGGCAGCAAGGTATGGGGGGGGGGCAGCAAGGTAAGGGTCCACCTCTAGACATTTGTGTCTAAACTCAACCAGATAACTCTCAGTGGGAGCGGGTGTTAAAAAGAGTCATGTGACCCTCTATGGGAGGAAATGTTAAGAAGAATCAGGAGACTCTCTATGGCAGTGAGTGTTAAGAAGAGTCAGAAGACTCTTCTCAGAAATGGATTTTGGGAAGTCAGGAGGCTTCCTATAGCAGGGGGTGTTAAGTAGTGTCATGAGACTTTCTGAGGGGATATGTTGAGAAGAGTCAGGAGACTCTCTATGACAGGGGGTGCTAAGAGTCAGGAGACTCTCTATGGCAGGGGGTGTTAAGAGTCAGGAGACTCACTATGGCAGGGGGTGTTAAGAGTCAGGAGACTCTCTATGGCAGGGGGTGTTAAGAGTCAGGAGACTCACTATGGCAGGGGGTGTTAAGAGTCAGGAGACTCTCTATGGCAGGGCGTGTGAAGTGGAGTCAGGAGACTTTCTTTGGTAAGGGATATTGGGAAGGGTTGGAAGGCTCTCTATGGGAGAGGGTGTTGAGAAATTTAGTAGACTCTGTATGGGAGGAGATGTTGGGAAGAGTCAGGAGACTCTCATTAGTTCATAAGTCATCTTTCCTTCCAATTGCATGTGGGTCTGTGCAGAAGAAGAGTAGATACGAGTAAATATTTATATACTTTATAATACAAATATAAATGAGATACAGGACTCCCAGAGCACTCTGGGTTAGCTAAAGAGAGACAACACAGCAGAGCAGCTCGCTTTTCAGTCCCCTTTGTCTAATTGACAGTCTGCAGAGTAGACGAGAGCCACCTGATGATTAGATTGCAGACGGCACAATATTATTACGCAGTGTTTTAGATTTCCTTGTTATAAAAATAACATTTATAATTGTTTATTCTTTCAAATGCAGGAAATGTGATAATACAGAACTTCCATATGTGAATTTATCCCGTTACTTAGATATTGTTTATCACATTTTGTGGAACCGACCAATCGGAATCCTCCTGCGGATGCATCTTAGGACTCATCGCTTCCCGCTAAGTCGTCTCTTCTCCTTCTTGCAGGTTCCACGGTCTGGCATCCCGACTGTAAGCAAAGCACCAAGGCGGAGGAGAAGCTGCGGGTAAGTGGCCTCCCGTCCATGACGTCATCTGTATCATATCTGTGATCACACACAGTGTCCAAATGTGTCTCTGACCATCTCCTGTTCCATGTCTGCAGTCTCTGACCATCTCCTGTATCATGTCTGCAGCCTCTGACCATCTCCTGTACCATGTCTGCAGTCTCTGACAATCTCCTGTATCATCTCTGCAGTCTCTGACCATCTCCTGTAGTATGTCTGCAGTCTCTGACCGTCTCCTGTACCATGTCTGCAGTCTCTGACCATCTCCTGTAGCATGTCTGCAGTCTCTGACAATCTCCTGTATCATCTCTGCAGTCTCTGACCGTCTCCTGTACCATGTCTGCAGTCTCTGACTATCTTCTCTAGTATTACATTCTTTAAATTATATGTGTGGCCCTTTGGTGATGTCAGGGGCCACACAATTGAGGCCCCTGTGTAAGTCAGTTACCCTCCGCCCCCCACCCAGAGACATTTAGACGGCTGCAGATTGTTTCCTATTATCAGAGTCTCGGGCTCGCTCGGCATGCTGGGAGATGGATCGTCGTGACCTCCGTGCTCACTGACGGCCGCAGGGAAAGTCATCATTCTGCTCCGATGGCTCCTGGAGAATGTTCTGTTCTGGGACACAGATAATGATTTATTGTTATGGATATCAGGACTGGACAGAGCCTGACCCACAGAGCTGACACTCTGATACCAATGTCTGGCTCAACGTCCACCTGTGGCATCCCACCCTCAATATAAATTACCCGAGAATATCATAAAGGAGAGTTATAGAGGAAGGAGCAGAGTGTCTCAGGAGGGAAGAGTATACACTATACTGCCAAAAGTATTGGCCCCTCCCCCTCCAGATCATGTGATTCAGGTCCTCCAATCCCCTCCATGGCCGGGGACGAGGCACCTCGGCATGCAGACGCTTCTACAGACATTGGTGAGAGAACGGGGCGCTCTCAGGAGCTCGGTGACTACAAGCGTGGTACCGTGATAGGTTGTCACCTGTGCAATAAGTCCGTCCGTGACATTTCCTGGCTACTAAATATTCCGCCGCGGTCGCCTGTTACTGGGATCATAACAAAGTGGAAGCAACCGGGAACAACAGCAACTCAGCCAGGAAGTGGTGGGCCACGTCACATGACACAGCGGGGTCGGCGCATGCTGAAGCGCACAGTGCGCCGAAGTCGCCAACTGTCTGCAGAGCCAATAGCTACAGACCTCCAAACTCCATGCGGCCGTCAGATTGGCGCAACAACAGTGCGTAGAGAGCTTCATGGAATGGGTTTCCATGGCCGAGCAGC